AAGTAAAAAGATATACTAATATTTCTCAAATAAAAAATATCATTTGTAACATTTTTTATTCTTATATATACACCTTATAGAACATAATATAAATGTACAAAAGTTATAGAAAAAGAATTTTTTTTTTTGAGAGAGAGTGAGAATGAGAGAGATATTGAGTGATTGTAAGAGTTAAGTTATTTACATGTTCCAACAAAAGTTTTTATACTGGAGAAAGGGGGATGAAACTAACAGCAATCTCTGTTGACCATCAGAGCCCGCACGTGTTACAACATCATAATTTGAATGAGAGTTGGAATTACGCATGTAACAGGAAGTAAGGCTGCGCATTGCATTGTTTATAGTAGACATGGAAGATAAAGTTTTCTATCTAAGCTTTTTGAATGGAATATACTGAAAACACTCAATGACAACTACCTGAATGATAGCAGAATTATTGTATACATTGGATCATAATGCATGCAGATGAAAAGGACTCATTTAACATGTTTAAAAAGATGAAGGCATTTGGAAGAATCAAAGAAGAATTTGTTGGTGTTATAATGGTAAGTCGCATTTATTTGGAAAGTTAGAAACGTAATATGAAGAATGTGTTTCTATCTTGTTGGATATTTTGTTGATAAAGAAGTGAAAAACATTTTTAAAAATATCAAGATAAATAAATGGAACAAGTGAAATTTTTGTAAACGAAATGGGTTTATATTTGATGAAGGTCTACATGTACTTTCCTTTTTTTATTTGTGTGCTCCCTCTACTAGTGTTGGTAAACACAATTGTCATGTTAGTACGACGTGCGTCCTTCACTTCGCTCATTTGATTTTTTTAAAATTATATATTTGAATACTTTAGAATCATAACAACACATTCTATATAATTTTTTGAATTAATGCATTGATGCATGTGACAAAAACACTTATAAAATGATTAAAACAATCCTCATTTCCGATAGAAATGTCTGTATATTTTTTTTTGATCAATATTATTGTTATTTATTATTATTTTATATTTATTATTATATCAAGCACGAATATTTTCGGGTTCTAATGTGAGAAAAACATTTTCAAAGATTTGCCCGCTCTTTTTAAAAACAACGCTTTTGAAATAGGATATACTAGTATTTATTTGTTTAACTGGGGCTATAGGGAATAAGAATGGCAACCTTTCAATTTCATGTATTGTGAAAAAACAAAGTACGATCACTTTAGATCATGAATACTGAGAATCTACTGTTGTTTAATCTGTAATTGCTAGAATTTAGGACAAAATTATGGCAAGTGATTCTCATCAAACTATAAAATTTGGCTTCTATTCTATTGAAATAATTGAAGATTTATTGTAAATCAATTTGTTCACAGGTCCTCGGGATTGAAAATTAAATAACCCAAATTTTAGAACATTAAAATCCAGAACTCAGGTTTTTAGAATCGGAGAACAAACCTGCTGCAGGCAGGCCTATAAGATTTTTTCTTAATGTTCTCATATTAAAAAGAAACAAAATAAATCAAATAACAATATTGCTAAAACTGTGTTGTCAAGCAGGGTCATTTTGTCAAGATAATTTTTTACCCCTCTCCCCTACAACAAACACACACATGTACGATTTGAATGCGTTAATTTATGTATATACGTACAGTATTTGGTTACAAAATCTTCCGTCATCTTGAATTAAAAGCTATCGTATATTAGTATATTAATTATATAAGATTTACAAATATAGGATACGCATTTAATACAATCAAAATCACGACACTTCATCATGGTAATATCAAATCATGACCCATGCCGGTAGTGTGGGGTCACAACAGCTGATCAAAGTTATGCAAAGGAATTTAAGGGATAAGTTTAAAAAAAAAATAAAGAATAAGAAAGCCATAATAAGTAAAATTTATTGAGAAGCATCCTCAGGTGATGTAGATACAAATGTGTTCAATGCATCTGCCTGGGGGTAGGGCAATGCAGTGGAGATTAAATGTCGGGACATTTTATTTAAACTCTTCAATAATTAATCGATTTAGCGATGTGGCCTATCGGCATCTATTTTAAATTCTGTTTACTTGTTTAAATTTAAGATTCTATAGAATATATATATATATATATATATATATATATATATATATATATATATATATATATATATATATATATATATATAACAGAAAATTAGAGTCATTTAAATTTTGTGCACCATTCATAGACTTTGTACATGTACTTCTATCACAGGGCATAAGATGGAGGTAAACAACCCAGCAGGACCGTAACCACCAAGATGTCTGAGGAGTAAAAACAGAAAACACATAGATGTGTAAAGGATACGTTTATATAGAGACCACAGAAAAGTATTAAACAAGAAATCATCGGTATAATATTCTGATGACGCTTTTAAAGTAAATTGGATATATAAACAATAGCGGGTTCTTTTATTCAAGAAACATCAGGGAAAATTACTCAACAGTTCATAGTGGAAGGATTGCTAAAACGTGTAGGTGAAATTTCATATCAGATGTCAAATGATACAGATCAAGGCCCAACCATTGGATTTTACCAGAAGGTTACCCACGAGCTGGAACTAGGAAACCCACCTCACAAACAGAATTTGGAACAGTCAGTAATTTGGTCCTTGACTCTCGCAAAGCATGTCAAAGTTGTGAAAAGGGATACAATATATTTCCATTAATCTTAAGAGTAAAAAATGCATAATATCAACTCTTGCGTATTGTGATTGTGTTAGACTTGCATGTATCATTTTAATTCTATTTGGAATGACTACATAATCTATAGAAGACTAATACATGATCTATTTTTTTATTCTTAAAGTGTGTTCTGTGTTAATTATTTAAATGGTGATGATCCTCACAGCTCATTGTTCCCTTTTACATATGCAGTATGAATTCCTAATGTTTTCTATATCTGTATATGAGAATACTAAGTTGATGTATTTTGATTGCTTCACCCAAAGATTTCATCAGGGGAGTGTATGAATTGAAATGTTTAGCTCAAGATGATTTTTGGGGCTCCTATGTCAAATTATTAGAGCGTTTGCTCGAGAGTCACTGAGTTAAGTGTTAATCCTTACGTTGTGGTTTCCCACCCACTGCAGGACATGCAGACTAGGTGCAGGCAAGGAAAAATTCTCCGATTACAAAGGGACGTTAAAGAAACAAAGTAAAGTATTTTTTCGTTTGAAAAAATGAGTTAAAAGAAGTGTTTCATTCAGCTGTGTATTGGGGTGGAGATAAAACACTACATGGAGGTTTATTTTTATATATTGTTTATATACTACTGTGCCTTATTGGAGGAAGCACATTTGTTTTTGAAATTGTATACACTTTTTTGACATTGTATTTCATATTTATTTTGATCACATGTTGATAGGTCCACTTATTGTTGAATTGCAAACCTATCAACATAAAGAGGAGGTATGATGTAAATCTTCGTCTTTTCTGGTGAATCCACCAGCTTTCTGTCCTTGTGTATAGGAACGAACCTAGTCATTGTAAAGGAAAACTACGAATGCTTTTTGATTTTAATGCTTTTGGTGGATCCACCAAACTCCCCACTTTTAATAAATACACAGGCAATGTTGACAATATATCATTTAAGTATTCTTGAGTATTCCTATTTGCATTTTGGTGGATCCACCAAGTATTTGTAAGTGAAATCGAGAATGCCTTGTTATTTGATTTTTTTTTTACAGTTTGGTGAGTCCACCAAACTCCTCTCTGTATTTAAGGACAATTTAGTTGAACTTTGGGTTACATGTAAATTTTTGACTTTTCTGGTGGATCCACCAGCTTTTTGTCCTCGTGTACATAAATGTATTAAGGAAGTGTCACTAGGTAATTGTAAAGGAAAATTATGAATGCCTTTTGATTTTTAGCTTTTGGTGGATCCACCAAACTGCCCACTATAGATAATTACACGAATAATGTTGACAGTATATCATTCAAGTATTCTTGTGTATTCCTGTTTGTATTTTTGGTGGATCCACCAAGCATTTGTGAGTAAAATTGAGAATGTCTTGTTAGTTGATTTTTTGCATTTTGGTGAGTCCACCGACTCTGTATTAGGGACAATTTTAGTTATACTTTCTTTTTTTAGTTTTTGGTGGTTCCTCCACTCAGTTTCTCTCAATGGGTTGTTTCAGTGTCTTAACACTGGTGGATTCACAAACGTCGTTTTTAAAGTATCATCATTATCAAAAGTAATTGAGAATTTCACCAGATTGCTTTTATAAATTTGAGCTGAATTGTCTATTTGTATTTTTGGTAGAATCACAAAGTTTTCTTGAAGATATTTCAGTTGTTTTGTTGGTAAGTTCACCAATTCTTTTAATGAATTGTAGAATTATGCATGGTCAAATTCACTCTTGTTTTCTTGGTGGAACCACCAAGATCAATCTTTGCTTGAAGATATTTGATAATTCAAATTGGTGGATTCACCAATCCTTTGACTGTGAATATGGAATACCGATACATTATTGATCTGTTTTAACATAAATATTGGTGACCACACCAATTCTTAACTTATTCAATAACGAAAATGAATAAAAAAAATTGTCGATTTCTGAAATTGCATTGTCTTCATTTTTTATTTTGAATTAAAAAAAGAGGACACGAAAAGAAAATCCTCTTTCTTAATGGAAACAGTTATTTTCTTCTTTTCTTATTTATTTTTAATTCATCTTTTTATTGGCTTACGTCAAATTATTCTCTTTTGCATATCTTTCTTCGCAGTTATTATATTTTTAAAAAGGTTCATTAATGATTTCAGCAAACAATATCTTTTCATGAGGGCAGTTGATTTCTCTATACAGTATAACAAAGTGCCAGGGACGGGCAATTTGCTTCGTCATAAGCGTAATTCATTACATCCATTAAGTTTACAATATTTTAAACTTACGGGGAATGAAAATCATGCACTTCCTTGTAAGCGTCAGTTCGTAATCTGCGTGTTTGCTATAATCAGGTTTTACTGTATTATGTGATCAAATTCGGTTGTAGACAGACGCTAAGCAAAGTGACGTTCTCTTTCCTACTTGATTTTACTAATAACAAAGACACAGAAGATATGGATCAAATCAAGCGGATCATCATAAGTGTCGTAAATGAAAGGAAGAGGCATTTAGAGCTCAGAGCACTGTATTCTCGCCCATCTCAGCCAACAGCAGATAAGGAAGGTACAGTAATAATCCATTAATATAAAAGGTGAAGATAACGTACAATGATCGGTCTCAAAAAATCTACAAAGATACAGGGCATAAAACGCAGACCTATGGAAATTCCAAAGATGGATCAGGTGCCTAGGAAAAGTAAGCATCCCCTGTCGACCGGTTACACCTACCTTCATTCCTATGTATTGATCAGGAAGACGGAGTAATCCACAGTCAAATTAAGTGTAGGAATAAAGGCCCAACAAATGGTATAAAATATTCAGTCAAAATACAACCCAATGATAGCATGCTATTGCTAACAAGATCATTTATAATGAGTCGCCCGCGTGGCGCAGTGGTTAGAGCGTTCGCTCTAGAGTCGCGGAGTAAGGAGTTGATCCTTACGTCGCGGGTTCGAATCCCACTGTGTGTTAACTGAAGCAAGTTATAGCATGTATATCTTTAACTAAGATGTCTTGATAAGAGATTTCGTTATAAGCAAATTTTAGTGGATTTGAAATTAACAGTTACCTGCTGATAATCATTGGGTATAGAGTACGTGTTTGCTAGTGAAGATCAATAGTGCATGCATGTGTGCTTTATGCACATCTCTATATAAATTGTAAAGAGTAAACATTGGACTTTGATTTTTTTTTCTAATCTCACAGCTAATGCGAGTACTTCTTTAAACATTTGTTTTTAGGCCCTGTTATACTGAAGACAAAAAAAGAAGGAACTACAAAATCCCCGGTATTTGTGAAGACAACTCCTGCTGAAATGAAGTCCACAACACAGAGAAATAGACAAATATCTTCAAAAACTAATTCCACTACAACAAATACCAATACGGCATCAAGAAGCAATGTTAAGAGTATTCAAGAAATGACGGTCAAAACTACAACCATTGCAACAAAAACAGTCTCCACGACACCGGGAATGAATGCGTGGGACAGACTATTGTCTCAGTTAAACATCACCTGAGGTAGATGACAGGGAGGACAATACAGTTGATGTCTACTGTTATTTCCTTTCAACCTCGTTCAAAGAAGTTTAAATCTTTTGTCATTAAATCTTGACTTTCCATTTTTTTCATTGCTTGTTTGCTTGGAACTCTTAATATCAGAAGATCAAGTGTTATACTAAGACTTGCAAAGTAAACATGTATGGGAAACCGCATGTATTATTGTAAATTACATTGTATGTAAACTTGTCTGTATATATTACATGTACATATAAAAAGTTTCATGATACATTTTGTAATTTCTTGAGTACTGTGCTATTGTTATCCTTGCAAAATTTGTTTTCAGCTTGTTAAAAAATTAAGCTTTCCTCACTTTCGTTTGACGAAAAAAATGTTTCAAGTGGTAAATGATAAAAATGAAAGATCTTTTAAAACTTTCCAAAATTATAATACCTGAAAACTGCATGTTAACCATACTACTTTTACCTTTGCTAAATCTATACTTGTAAATTAATAAAGTTTGCAAATAAACTCTGAAACGGGTGCACCAGATTTATTTCTAACTCCTCTATGAATACACTAGATACAAGATGATGTCCGTAAACTATATTCAGATTTAACTCGAATAGTAAGTATCGTACATTAAATTAAAAGTCTCCTTTCAATTTCTATTAACAGCCATGAAATAGCAAACACGTGAGTACGGTGGCGATTCTGGTTGGCGGGTCTAAGTTACTGGCAATTTTTAATGAAACTGACAACAAGCAATCGTTTATTTGTTTCATTAAACGTAATCAAAACTTGATTTAAATGATATTAAAGAAATGAAAGAAAAGGTGAGCAAGTTCACATACCCCACGCTTCCCCAAAACTCGAGAATGCAATACGTAATGAGTGACACAGTGCATTTTAAACACACAGTATAATTCAGAAAGGGGCATTACTTGCAAAAAATCATCACATCAAAACTTCTTGCAGATAAGGACATTCAAATCTTTGTATGTTACAAATTTAATAGGGCTGAATTTTCTAAATAAATAATGGAATCAAAATTTCTTGGTAATATATATACAAATCTATACATTATGTCTGAAATACATACAAAGTTTCAGGAAATTCAGTGCAGGAGCTATGCAGACAAACTGTTATTAAAATTCCTCAGTGATTTCGATTTGTTGATAAGCGTAAGTCCATGTCCAACACATGACAATTTAAACATTTAAATATTTGATGGAAACAAAATTATAATGTAGTCATATGAATTTGTTTATATACTGTACTTATAAAATTCCTTAAGGCAAAGCAACAATTTGAGAGGGGTGGGGGGGGGGGGTGAGAACTATCCAAGATTGTGTGTGTGTTTGTGTGTGTTAAATCATTAATATTTTGATCTCAAAATCAATAGGGGTTTTTAATGTCATAAAATATTTCACATAAAATTTCATTACAAAAGCTGATTCCAGTGGATTTCCTTATTACCTAGCTGGAAAGTTTCTTCAATAATAGGCAAAACTCTTAAGGCAAAAAATAATGGAATCTGAATTTCCTGGTAATATGCATATCTGCACACTGTGTACAAGATCTGCAAAGTTTAACCAATTCTGTGCAGCGGTTTAAGAGGAGTTGCACTAACAAACTGTTCATCTCTATATTCAAGATATGGCCAAAACTCTAAGTTGAAAAGTGCCGAAATTCTCAGAAAAATAATAGATTTGGAATTTCCTGGTAATATGCACATCTACACACTGTGTACTTATTATCTGCAAAGTTTTACCAAATTCTGTGCAGCGGTTTATGAGGAGTTGCAATAACAAGCTGCTCATCTCTATATTCAAGATATGGCCAAAAATATAAGTTGAAAAGTCCCGAAATTCACAGAAAAATAATTGAATCAGAATTTCCTGGTTATATGCACATTTACACATTGTGTGCTAAATATCTGCAAAGTTTGACGAAATTTTGTGCAGCGGTTTATGAGGAGTTGCAATAACAAGCTGCTCATCTCTATATTCAAGATATGGCCAAAAATCTAAGTTGAAAAGTGCCGAAATTCCCATAAAATAAAGAAATCGGAATTTCCTGGTAATATTCACATCTACACATTGCGTCCTGAATTTCTGCAAAGTTTGGCGAAATTCTGTGTAGCGGTTTATGAGGAGTTGCGCTGACAAAAAAAAAAAACAAAAACAGGACGACGGATCAAGGATTTTTTTCCAGAAGGGGGGGGGTCATCTGAGTAAAAAAAAAATCCTCACCCCAAAATTTCGTGACAAGCAAAAAAAAGTGTTTGTGAAACACTGATGCCCCCGTATGGCAACTAATAGGAAAGGTTAAACTTTCTCAAATGCAAATCAAATATGTTGGTACCCAAAATAAGGTCTTGTCTCGAGGAATAAACCTGTGAAATATGAAAGCCTTAGCAGCTATGGCGTGTAAAACGTTGCTTTATTCGATAATCTTGTGATGTATATTCAAAATCTTGTGATGTATGTTCAAAATCTTGTGATGTATATTCAAAATCTTGTGATGTATGTTCAAAATCTTGTGATGTGTATTCAATATCTTGTGATGTATATTCAAAATCTTGTGATGTATGTGCTATATCTTGTTATGTATATTCAAAATCCTGTGATGTATGTTCTATAATCTTGTGATGTATATGCAAAATCTTGTTATGTATATTCAAAATCTTGTGATGTATGTTCTATAATCTTGTGATGTATGTGCAATATCTTGTGATGTATATTCAAAATCTTGTGATGTATATTCAAAATCTTGTGATGTATGTTCAAAATCTTGTGATGTATATGCAAAATCTTGTGATGTATGTTCTATAATCTTGTGATGTATATTCAATAATCTTGTGATGTATATGCAATAATCTTGTGATGTATGTGCAATAATTGCATTTTGGGTAATATGACGCAATAGTCTTCTAGTTAAGTAAGGACAATTTTTATTGGTTGGAAATAACGAAAGTAGCGGGGTGATGCATACGTAGATCAATTGGACTTTTCATTTCTTTCGTTTTGATCGCCGAAATATTGCTGACTCGGCGTTAAGCAGTAATTATCAATCAGTTTCTCGTTTTGATACAAAGAAAAGAGACATAAGATATGGATTATATATGCAGGTATATCAGTGAGGAAGATATAAATGTAATTAACATGATAAATAGAGTGAAAATTTTATTTCTAAAGAAAAACGATAGCTGTTCATCAAGTTTTTTCTTCTCCTGTAAAAGAGCTGATCGGTAGTCTAGTAATAATTAAAACACAAAAAAGATTATCTTCTTGTCATATTAATCAGGGTAATTACTTCCAGCATAATTTTATATTTGGAATATACTCATGATAAATTTGAAGAGTATATATAGAAGTTTAAGGCTTATCTAATTACAATGTCAACTACACTCTATCTTTTGTATGTTTTTTTCTTCAGTTCGCAGCTACTGTATACATCACTGTCATATGATTTTCTCAGTGTATTACACATGCAGTGGGACAGCTGATTAGGTTTTACATGGGATATGGTGATTGGTCACCTACAATCATGATTGCTAAAACTGATCTCCAACTTGATGCAACTCAATGTTTAAACCTATGTGACCTACACTTATCTCACAGATTTTTTGTAAGCCTTCCAGTCATTTTTAAATATACAATGTACATACATGCTTCACATGGAGAGTTGTAACTTGTTAGAGGAAGTCAGAAAAAAACCCTCTTTTTTCTCTGTCAATTGAAAAGCAAAATATCACTGTCTAAATCTTCTGCAGAGTTGTATCAGCTACAGCCTTGATAGATGCTACTAAAATGACACAAGACATTCCATCACATATATAGATATGCTTGCAATGGCTTACATCTCTTACATAAATCATCATACTTCATAACATTTTGCTCAAAGCTAATATATCCTGGCTCAACATCAGATGTTTGTCATAGTCCTACATAGTGAGGTTCAAATTCTAAAATCAGTGCAGGAGTCCTTAATTATCTTACATGTATCTGATGAAAGATTCATCACTCACTGAATCAGGACTGTGTCTAAATATACCTGCTTTTCTTTTATTCAGAGGTCAGTTCACTTAACTAGAGGCTGCATTTTTTTTTAATTTCCGCTTTTCAATATTCATATAACAGTTTATTTATACAGATAAACAGTGCGAATTTTTATTAAACATTCACTATAGGCTGCATTGTGCTTTAAAATTGCCATTGCACAACATCACTGCCACGTGCCAATGAAAGGATAAAAAACTGAAATACTTCATTTTTGGTTTACTTTAAATTCACAGATATTTCAACTATGTTCATCTTGTTAACTTGCAAGTCCCTCTTTTGAAAGAAGTTGCATAATTTAACTTCAATATTTTCCTTTTGTCACCTGTTCAACTATTATATACATGTACTTAAGTCTATGTTCTCCCAATATTTCTGATGGAAGTTTTATATTTTGTAGATTCGTTATTGGTTAAGAGTGAAATTTACCATTTTATGTGTTTTAAAAAATTCTTGCACTCATCAGGTTGCCCGCATGGCGCAGTGCTTAGAGCATCTGCTCTAGATTTGTGTGGTGCAGTGGTTAGAGCATCTGCTCTAGAGTCCCCAAGTAAGGAGTTGATCCTTATGTCGTGAGTTCAAATCCCACTGTGGGACGTGGAGACCGGTCCTTCGGATGAGACCGTACAAACCGAGGTCCCGTGTCACAGCAGGTGCTGGTATGAAAAAGATCCCTCCCTGCTCAATGGCCCTAAGTGCCAAGCATAGGACAAAATTTTCAGCTCTCCATTGGCAAGTGGTGGAACTTCATATTAGTGAAAAATACTCGAGAGGGACATTAAACAACATAAAAACAAACACACTTATCAGTTGGACAGCAATCAATGGCAATGAGTACTTCACTTATTCCTTTGACAATATAAGTATTTTAAATACACAGGTTACTTGTTGCAATATTTAATTGGTCATGTTTTACAAATGAATGATTAAAAATTAGACATTATGCAGAAAGTGTATTTTTACATGTCACTGAACTACACGTGTATGGAATTTACTACCAAATTTTGTATGTCCATGCACTAAAAAGGTACTGAATTGAAATTTTATTATTTTTTTTTTTTTTACAAAATCTCCTTCGCTTTATTTATCTCAGATTTACACTGTCATATCAATTACTGAACAGAACAGAGACCAACATAGTTTGTCAAAGTTTCTAGTTTTCTCTTGGTGCTGGAATATAGGTACTATAGTAAAAATTTATAGCAGTGCAATATTTTTGGTACATTCCTTATCCTACACAATTCTTATAATAATTAATGACATTGTTGACCAGGGTCCCAACCAAGAAGATGCAACATGTCTTGTTACACATGTGTTGACCTTGAATCTGGTGGTGGTAGGCAAGGTCAGTTTTCAGATGTAAAGAATCTTTCCCGTATTCTGAAATATGAAAATATAATTAGAATTTATGTAAACTAAGGTAAATTTTTTACAGATAAATTTCGCCAAGTAGTCGGTGATAGCCCAAAGGAGCACTGGA